AAACGCTCGAGTTCCCAAGCGAAGCATGATCCTCCTTGTCTAAAGAGAGCCGTGCTCTCGTAGTCGCATTATCGCCGCGACGGTGTTCCATTTGTACATGTATATTCCCTTGATCCCTGTCCTCGCGTCGTATATATTAGAGGCAACTGTTTTACTTTTTTTTTCGTCTGTCGAGAATAACGCAATCCACCGCTTAAAAGCGAAACGAAGAAAAGTGTCGTCCGCCACCTCCAGACCGCAAGCGATGGGGGGGGGGGGGAAGAGCTCCTCTGACAATGAGTGTTACTCGAGCAGAAAAACCCCACGATTCTCCAGTTGCTTTACTTGCTTTCTAAATCGTGTTTTCTTTCCGGAACGATACAAAGGAGGATACATAGAACAGTAAATCAACGATGAGTGTTCGAAGATTTCTCGGCACTGAGTGTTTGAACACTGTACAGTAAATTCTCGATAACTGCTCGGAAAGATCTCTACGCTAAATGCTTCTGTTTCATCCCCGCTACCGGGGGGTTACACACTTGAAGCTTGGCCCCAAAATGCAATTCATAAAGTGCAGAAATCGTGTCCATCTGCGATAACAGCTTCAAAGTGGTTCCGAGTTTCGAGCGTTAATCGAAGACTTACTGTACAACGTTTGGAGAACACACACATGTCGATCGTACACCTTCGTCGGACAAATTAAGGCCGCCGTCCCGGAGGTAGGAAGACGAGCGAAGCGTGTCCGAATAGGATCGCCGCGCGAAAAAAAATGCAGGTGCAAAGGATATACATACATATATTTGGACCGCACCCACCCAGAACGAGGCGACAAACACGCGTGAAAAAGCAACAGCATCACCGTGGCTGATTCGCGTTAGCGTCGGGTCGGCTCGAGCGAGGGTGGGCGAGGCTCGCGTACCGCGCTAATTGCGTTACGCAAATGACGCTAATGAGCCGCGTTTCGACGTCCTCGAGGCGGCTGTGGCGACGGCGTCGCGAGAATTCTCGTTCTTGGACCAGTTCGACCGATCTGTCCGCGCGGTTCGTCGCTTGCCAACGAACCAAATGTAACCTGGCCTTAACCTTGTGGGAAATCGCGGAACGTACGAATCGGACGTTCGGACGCGTTACGCAACGTACCCGATCGATTTTCATTGATCGTACGGCGTCGATGAGCCGTCGAGTGTATCGGAACTAGTGACGCAAAAGTCTCTCGATCAGGCATACACTCCCGCTTATAAGTACTGGGACACTTATCGAATATATGATTTGATTTGATAACGATTACGACGTTTGATGGATAACGAAACGTGTTTACGAAACATCACACGTTCTTTTTTATATATATTTATTTATTCATATACGGGTATAAAACCCTTTAGTATATAATCCAGTTAGAATTAGCCAATTGTAGGTAACAATCTGCTGTACGTGCTATGCCTAAAAGAGGTTTGCAAACTAAAGCAATAAACTGTCTCTTTATACAATACATATAGATCAGGTACCTATCCTAATATTTATGAGCGGTAGTAAGAAGGAATATCTTCGAGTGCTCGAACAGTTAGAAGTTAATGAACTGGATCTCTTCTAGTTTACAAGATTACAAATTATCTTGTCCATAAAACACTTTTGCCTAGCTTCTTTCTGATTACATAGGGTATTTGTCTCGAACGGGTCGCCGAATGGCGTCGCGGCGCCTGGACCGTTGACTTGGTACTTGTAAGAGACGACGATCTGGGGCAACGTCGAATCTTCTTTCTTGTTTGGAATGTAAGTGCATCAATTGCCCGGAATTAGGCCACACCGATCATCCTCGGATAGATCTCGATAGGGGAGGATCGTTCCGTTTGTTAGGTACGTGCATTCTGTGGCGACAGTTTGTAAAATCGGACTGCACATAGACCAGCTTACGCGAGCAGACGCATTAAAAATAGATATTGCATCATACACGAACGACTAGGCGTCGAGTAGCCATTCTATGCCATGCAAATACTACAGCATGACAGGTAGTTTCTTACGGGATTTCGTATAAATGAATCTTTATTAGCGTAAACGTTACGCAACAACGATTAGCGGAGAGGCCGAGGTGTCATCGACGTATTTAGAAATTGGTATGGTCAAGCACACATCCTCTAGTGGTCGACTATCTGCTTGAATGTGTTTACTTCATGCCTCGATGTTTCTCACAATAACGGAAGTTGTAATTGTGCAAGATCTTCAAGTTTAAACGGTTTACGTCAGAAAGAAACAGACTTGTTCTGTAGAAGATTGCTTCCTGTTTTATGGAAAGGCGTAACACTTTCTATGTGCGTGATTTGTACCATTCAACCATTTCGCAGAGGTTCTTGTAATATTACCTTAGTAACTAACGTAACCTTCTTGGCCAGAAATATTTTATTAGCCCAGTCGAAAACTTACGCTATCGCAGGTATACCCTTTCGCGAAAAGAAATGTATTGCAACATAGATGCACGCAAAGATTATAAGGTAATACGATCGATAACAAGAGATTTTATGCGTTAATTTCCGGAGCTTTTTTTTTTAAAATATTTCGCAGCCAAAACGATAGTAGAGTGGTGGCTCATGGGAACACGTGTCTCGCTTCGAACGGCAAATCGGACCTCATGTATATTCGACCAGGGTCCCCGTTCGACGATAGTATCTGAAAAAGTGCTCTACCATGCAAAACGAATAACAACGAAGTCCGGGGCCGCTCACGCGAACCCAACGTTCCAGGAACTTGAACCGGCCGGACGATTGCTCGGCGATACGCAAATGACCCCGTAATTACTAATAATTTGACTAAACAGTCGAGTCGTTCGGAGGATGTCTGACTTTGGCGAAAATTCGGGTAATACGCGGGAAATTATAAGAAATGAAAAGAAGGAGAACGAAGGGCACCTTTGTCGAACAAGAACCGATCGATAGAACCAACCAAGCGGGCATACGAGTACTTGCATAAATAAAATTAGGATCATCTCGATGGGCATTTTGTAGATTGTGGAAATTTCGTTACTATCATAGACATAGAATATATCCATCGGAAGAACAAAAAAAATACATAAAGTCACATCTATCAACCATGGAATATATTAGGTTCATGGGAATAAATAATGATGTATACGGTTAATGAATAACATTGTGATGCCTTCTTAAATCTCCGGAAGAAGGATTGGATTCTAATTGGCCTAGCGTTTGTCGAGGAGATTTTTACACGTCCCTACTGGAAAATGTTCTATCCAATCTCGATGATTACTGCTTGTCGGTTTTGGTTAAATTAGAATCATTATAGAAATTAGTTATACCACCTGTTACGAATATTTGCCGGCGGCAACACTGCCAAACGTTCACATTCGCAGCGACCTCATCCCTGCTGCCAACGTTTCATCACCGATTTGGCGACCGAGCCAAAAATTCTTCGATGCGTAGACGATATCCGATACTCGTATAAATTTTCAAAATAGTTCCTATCGATCGCTATTTATCGTCACTTGAATCATTCGCTGTCGAAGTACAATTTACAATTAGGAAGTTCGTGCACCCTTGATTAATCGACGATAACCAATTTTTTTCAGAAACGCAGAAATTGAGAATTAGCTAAAGTCTGCATCGATTCAGTAATAATTGCAAAGAGATTGTAACTATTATCTCGAAAAATTGTGTCTCGATGAATTACAATCTCTGAGTACAGAACGACGAAATCTCAGAAAATAGATGTGGAGTGACGCATTTTTCAGATATCGATTCGGTCTCGAGACGCAACGGGAACGGTTGGGTGGCCGAATCTGTGGCGCCCTTTCGTCGCCATTTTCCTTGTCTTATTATTTCATCCTTTCCACGTTATTTCTTCCACCGAATCCTATTTCTCCGCTTTTATCGTTAGTCGAACTGATAGCAGCTTCGCTCGACGAGTCTCGTAAAACGTGTCGTGTTCCGGCTGTATGTATAATACCTATACTTATACATATACATATATCGCTGGCTCCCATAACCTAGTTTCCTAAGATGTTTGCGTCACTTTACGAGCTACGCGCATTCCTCCCATTTCACCCCTATTCTATCCTTTGGGAATAAACCCTCAAAAGTTTCATTTATGCTACGATACATTTCTAATCGTTATTCTCCTTTTTTGCAATTAAATCAACCTTTTTTTCACTGTGAAACATGAGTCATCTATAAGGTTATTCGTCTTTAAAATAGCGGACCGAGTTCTTTGAAAAACGAAGACTTCCAACTTTCGTATTATTTCGATCTTTTCCTTCCAATAAAGAATTGGGTTAGTGGGATCTTCCGATTTCCATCACCGTCACCTTATGTCCGTCTCTCCATAGAAAAATTTTCAGTTTTAAGTTCCGTATTGTTTTAAATTCGTATCACGAGCAAATCGACGAGTTCGCGTAAATCTGTTAGAATTTTTATTTTTACCCGCAACACTCGGAGTTACGACGGTTCAAGGTTTTATCCTCGAGATACAGACGTTCCTTTTTTTGCCCCGATATTGGCAAAATTTTTAGTTATCTGCGTCCATAAATATCCGTGACTTGTCCCTGCGGTTCGTATACACTGGGATGGGTGGTACGAAAGTGGTTAGCATTCGTTTGAATAAAATATGTACCTGCTTACCACCGACCCCAATATGTTATCGCACCCCTTGTCCACCACCACACACCAACAACGATCGACTTTTAACGTTTGCGTGATCGCAGAAACGAGCCTGTCCAAGCTGATTTATTAATACGGACACTTAATCGAACCCTGCAACCCAATTTCACGGCCTTGTCCCGACCTGTATGTACGTGTGGAAATTGCGAAATTTTCCTGGAAAACTAGCGATCGACTGGCGTGTAATATTAGACATACCTACTGTCGAGATCTTTTCGAGTGCAGAAGGAGAACCGAAAATAACTGTACCGCGTGAAGGTTGAATTTAGTCGGAATAAGCAATCTCGTTGATAGATTAAAATCTTTCTGTACAGTACGGAAAACTGAATTCTTAAAAGGATTTTCTCGTTGTTTGTCCAGGTCCACGCTAAACACGAGGAGAAGACGGAGAGCAAATCGGTGTACAGAGAGTACAACCGTGAATTCCTGTTGCCGAAGGGAACCAACCCTGAGAGCATCAAGTCTTCGTTGAGCAAGGATGGTGTGCTGACCGTCGAGGCTCCGCTTCCGGCGATCGGATCAGGCGAGAAGCTGATCCCCATCGCGCAGCAGTAAAAAAAAAAGAAAAACAAAGTAAAACCAATTAATCGGACGAACATGCGAGAATTAAATCCCCCCAAAACATCCCTCGATATTCCATCATCTGTGCGTCCGTATCTGATCGCTGAGATCGCTCCTTCCTGTCCCCTTCCTGAAATACCTGTAAGAGTCTACCTTTCTCCCCCTTTATTTCTTTTCACCTGTTTCCCTCCGATTCCTTTTGCTGCGTACTTCCATGTTTCATTTCCAGTGTTCCCGTCTCCCTCGATCATGAAAATCGGGATTCTACCCTTTCGATCCCTACCCGAAAAGAAACGGCAAACGATCTTGTCCTGCAAATCGAACGGCGATTCTCTTTACGAATGGATTTTTGGACCATTTTCTACTTGTTCTTAAGAATCACAGATCGTCGACCAGTTGTTTTGTTATTTTTTACAGCCAAACAATCTGATTTTGATCCGAGGGGTTGATCGAACGATAATCAAATTTTCAAACGTGAGAGATGATGGTTTACGCCGGTGGCCGTAAACGGGGACCGCCTAATTTTGTATAAAACTTGAATGTATAAATGTTCGATATACAGTGCTTCTCTTTTTCGAATAGATATTTGTCGCTTCGACACTTGTCCGAGAGTACACGCATTTTTCGTGGTTGTGTCGTCTGACGGTCGAATCTCGATCGGTAGGGAATCAAGTCGCGGGGTCAGTTTACCGACCGTGTGTACCAGTCATCGTCTATGGTTCAGGAAATAAAAAGAAATGAAATAAATAATTGTAATCTTTAAGGTCTAAACGACGCGTGGACGTCGTTGTGATTGTAGGAGAACGAATGTTTGATAAATTATTCATCGTTTTTGGTACGAGCAGCTTTTTTGACGCTTTGATACTTCCTTTTTAGAAGTAACACGAACTTTTTCAGGAACACGCATTGCCTTTCAAAATGTATCTTAGATGTTGCGCTTCGTGGGGAAACACGAAGGGAAAAGAATCGAAATTAAAAGAAAAAGATATTAAAAAACGCATCGCGTACTTGTGCACCATAAAGTTCATTTAAAAGAAACAAATGTTGTATCGTGTGCAAATTAAACGCGAATGGAGAAGCGATCTTCTGTAAACGATAACTTATGTATGTGTTAGTTTTAGGTACTACGTTAAAAGACTATAACACGAAAGTATGCTTAGAGTATTGTAAGCATCGTAATGATTATTATTATTATTTATGGACATTTTACTATTGTCGAGATACGTATAATGTTTAAAAGGTAATGCGAACAATATGGAAGTTTAAATAAAAATAAATTTAAAGATATCGGTTTTCTTTATGTTCTCCATATTATCGTTTGTTGTCGATGAGAATACTTTTTAACAGTCGAATAAAATATCGTCGAACCTCTCTACTACTTTATAATTAATTAGTCAGCTTTGCATATATTGACTCAAAGATTTTCGCTCCAGCTGTGGTGCGCAAAACTATAAGCAGAGGGTTTGTATTCGCCAACATTTCAGAAAAATTGTACCGAACATTTGTTTACATCTTATCACAGTTTATTGATTTATAATTGTTTATTAACAAAATATTCTATCATCTTATATACATATAGATAGTTTGTAGTAAACCATTATAAAATTGATACACCGTACGTAGTTACATTTTTCAAAACAACGTCGTGTTAAAGATTTATACAACAAATAACAACAATCTCAATGATCGGCAAAAGTATCAGACATTGTTCAGATCAACCACTAATTTTCCGTTGCATCGTTCACAAACCCACGACGTGTACGTGTTAATAATTTAAATGACCCGCTTTGCAGCAGACACACATAATAAATAAGGTTCTTTTTTCTAAAACAACTGATATTCTTTTAAAAATGCGATTTCTCAACATTTTCGATTTCGTATCTCTATCCTTGTTTGAACTTATTTAATTGAAACTGACGAATTTGTATAGCGAATTACATAAACATGTGAGAACCAATGAGCTCGCGCGACCAAGAACGAAGTTCTCTCATTTTATAAATAAATAACTTCAATCAATCCGATTGCTTTTACTTACAAATGTTTCGAGTATAAAAAATATATGATGGTAACACGCAATATACAATTTAAAAGCAATTAAATACACGGAGAGATTCCTACAAATTTCTGTTCCCCTGTCTTCGGGGTCTACTAAATCTACTAAAATCTGGATTTAGCTACACATAAACACAGTCGACACATCTAAGGTTTAAACTACTCGTTTACTGTTTTGGTATGCATTTATACTGATTGAATAGCAATGTTGTTAAAAGGTGATAAAAAGCACCGATACGATCGACCGTTAATAAATACGATTATAAAAAGAGATACAGACGTGATTCGAGCGGATGTTTGCCGATTCAAATGGGAGCTTAAAAAAAGGAACTTTTCCACGTGAATTCGACTTGTTTGGTATGGTTTCGAAGTAATATCACATGAAAATCAATTTGTTCGTCTTTACAATCTTTATCATCTCGTAAACAGAATGCGATAAAGATATCTATCCTCGACTTTTCATAAAATTTCCTGTTCTTCTCAAAGACGGGCCTCAAGTTAATCACAAAAATTCGTATCAAAGTGTTCCTTGCGCGGAAAGTCTATTGTCTCGAATTTAAACTTTATGTTGTTCTATACGCTTGGGATTTCCGCGGAAAAAAGGGGCGCGTCCGATGCTGTGAACGTTGGCGATTTACCCTCTCTGGCGATGCGAAGCGCCTGATGAACGGAGACCGTGTCTAGTTCCTTTTGGTTAGGTTTCTCATTGTCCAGACAAATATCTGCCGCTCTCTTACCGAACGGTTCCAACACTTTTACTCTGTAATCGACGATCGTTGAAACTGGATTGCCGGTTAGTCTCAGGTTCTCCAAACAAGGCAAATGCCCGATGTTTTTCACCTCCTCGATCTTCTCGATGCGATTGCAACTTACGTCCAGGCCCTCCAGCGAATATAATTTCGAGAAACTTGATAAGGAAGTTAACTTGTTCTGCGACAGGTCGATGTACACGATGTAACCGAGTTTCGTATGCAAATCGTCCGGTAGAGTCGTAAAGTTGTTCGACGCTAGGTACAATTGGGACAATCTCGGTAACCAGGTGATGTTCGATATTTCGGAGAGAAGATTGTTATTTAACATTAGACACTCTATATGCGGCAACAATTTAATTGCTTCGTCAATGATTTCTATTCGATTGTCGCTGAGATCTAGATGGGTCACTCTCACCCAGACGTGAGAATCGTTCGCATTCTCGATAATTTTATGCACCTCCTCGCACATTGCGAACTCGACGATGTTTCGGAGTTTCGTGTTGTTTACTACTAAATGTACGACCGTATCTCGAAGATTGCCCATATGATATATCTTGTCCACGGGATACCTATTAATCGTTAATTCCTCTATATTTTTAAAGCTCGATAGTTCGATCGAAAGCGTGGACGTGTAAATATTGCTGGTTTTGTAGGGCTCTAGACTACCTTCGATCTCAAGACCAGTTAAATGGGAATTGAAGTCCAATATATGGCTAAAGTCAAACTTTTTGTCAACTACTTCCAATGGTGGACAAGGTTGTTTCAATCTTTCGCTGATCGCATATAACTGAAAAGGAGACGTTTTTCATAGATGATATTTTCAGATACTTATGAGTTACATATGCAAATGAAGTATGAAAGTTTTTAGTCACCTGTAGCGGATTAAATTTGTAGGTTTTAGATTTTTGTAGCAAACTGTTGCCTTCTGTGAAAAACTCTAAAGCCATACTCTGCAGCAGGAAAAATATATCGTATATGTGCAAATCCAGAAATACAGCCAATTCTCGGGACATTGCTTTCTTCAAATAGTTGTAGACTGCATTCAGATATACTTCCAGGTTCAATCTACGTTTTTCTACAAAGGCTTCGCACTTGTTGCCAATCAACTTTTTCGGTGGCAATATGTCCTTTTCAACGCAGTGTTCTGTGACAAGTTTGTCGTGAAGCTCTACAAACTCGTTGTATCTGTAAAAGTATACCAATGAAAATAGATCAACAGAGGCTTAATTACGGTATAAAATACGCATTAATATATGCCCATGCTGCAATGTATACAGTTCTTTCTAGAGAATAAATGTTATACATCTAAGAAATAGGCCAGTACCACTTTGTTCACTAAATTCCAAAAACAATATACCGGATCAAGGTATATTAGAATTAGAGCAAGGGAATTGTTTTTTAGATACAAAAGGAGCAACGCGAACGTAGAAGCAGGTAAAACAGATTGAAATTGGAAATAGAAAAATCGTGAACGTTTACCTGTGTTTTACAGTCCACTTGATGGAAGCAATCCTAACCTCGATGCAATAGTAAGTGACACCGTCGACAGTGTCCGCCGATGGTATTTTAATATGAACATTTTCCTGATTCAACAAAAGACACGCCATTCCGTCGAGAAATGGCCCTGCTGATCGTTGAGCTGGTACGTGGCAGAGGAGTTGTCAGTGTTGTCGATCGGGCCGAGAGGTTATCCTGGATCGAGGTGAGAGCTGTCAATATCGACTGTTTCACGTCAGAGGGAGGGACGAGTGTTATCCGTTCGGTGCATCGTACTCCGTTGATTCTACCGCCGTGCCTTTTTCGTTGATCCTTCTCTCGCTATGCAAAACAATTCCATACGAATGTACATCTTTGACAGTGATTCACAGTGATTCCCGTTCTCTGCCGCGTTCTCGAAACGTATACCGTGTCTCCACCTTGCGATCGAATCGAGCTTCACCACTACAGTTTTGTTTCACGTTATGCACATTGACATTTCGTTTCTCCTGCTCGTGCTCCACTGGACTTCAAAGACAGGTAGTTTTTGTCAAACATCGTTTAATTTGTTGCAATGTTTTGCGTTTGAGTTTTTATTCTTTGTTTTCATGGTGATTCAGCTGTTCGTTACTTCTTGCACACGTTTTTCAGGATTTAAATTCTCTGGTACCAATTCAACTTTGATACAAATATTATCCGGTTTCTTTGGTGGAATTCCAAAGGTTCTACTTCTTTTTATAACCTTTGCAGGCTTTAGGAGAACAGTTTTTCCGTCATTTTTTGTGTACTTGCCAAGTATCTACCTTTGCCATTGACAGGAACTGAATGTTATTAGAAAATGGTTCTAGTTTAGTTAATGTTAACGTTTATTTGAAAATCGTTAAATTGATTGTTGCGTGTAATGCAATTGATAAATAAACTTCGACAACGACATTTGAGTGGCAATTCATTCAATACTTAAACACAAAAGATGCCAGATTTTTTATTAATGAAATGACTGATTCATATATGTATACATATTTTGTGTGTGAAACTGGACATGAATAATCAAGGTCATTTGTATCAATCCAATAACTATCGATCATTCCAGTGGACGTTAATCTTCACGATCCTGTTCTAACAACTGGTTTGCAAAATCAAGTTTCTCATACGTTTGTCCGGCTGAACGATCGATTCGTAATTGGATTTATACAGATTCATAAATTTAAAAGATTGGTCAGTTTTCTCGTAGTGGCAGGTCGCGCCGCTATGAAATGGAAGAACGCGCCCATTCACGGCGGTTCTCATTGGCGACAACCTGTTGCTGCAGTGGCGTAATGAGAATTTCGTCGGTCTAGAGTCTAGAGAAAGAATTGATTTCGAGGATGTTATTTCGACGACATTAACAGCTGGAAATAGTGTAATGATTTTATGCAAAGGCATATAAGGTATCCAGTAATTTATATAATGACAATTTCACGTTGAGTTAATTACAGACAGGTCGTACAAGGACTTTCTGTAAATGAACGGTTTGAAACTTTCCTCCATGAGGTTCTACCAGAACAGAAAAGTCGATTAAAAAATAAGTTCAGATGTATCTGTGTGTAGCAGCTGCTTGAAAATGTGTTACTCATCAAAATGCCTGTCAGATTGCGTCACATTGATACCATGCATTTACGTGTTCATATGTTTCGCGTAAACGAGATAAGTCGTGCTTTGACGGCTCTGCTATTTAATAAATTGTTACACTCTGTGCTGACCTAAGCGCTATGAGATTTGCTTATTCAAAATATTCCATAATATTTTTGCTTATAGGTCAAAAAATGGAGGTTCGTGACGAAATGTTTGCGAACCACTGATTTAAATATCTCTGCTCCAATGTATATTTACAATAAAATGGAGTTATTAAGCATTGAACCGTGGTCAAAAGGAAACATAGAAATATCATCGTGCGGATACTTTCGTTTCCCGTTAAATACGCTTTGTCTACCTTTTGTGCGCGGATAATGCCCAAGGCGAGGATCCCGCGGTATCCACAAAACAACCGAATAAAAGCGTTAATAGCTGCGTCAGCTGTAGCTTCACGAATACCACAGTCGATCGCTAACGATTCCTCAGGCTTTTGATATTCTTTGCGTTTTTGCGAAATCGCTTCGGATCAGAGAGCCTGTAATATTATCCCGTCGGATCGTTGATTATTCTACGCCACTGCAAAATCGGTGGATGTTTTCGTCAAAAACAGTGGCAGCTGTAGGCTACCTGTCCACGTTGGACTTAAGCTGGGAGAAAATTCATCGAAGAATAAACCTGTCAACTTTTGTTTTACTATAATTTTGATTTACTATCGCAATTAATTATCCCGTTTACACATTCTCGATAAACCGTATATCCAATCGCTAACAGATTTCCTTGCTGATACAATATCAATGTGGAAAAGATAATGGTAGTATAAGGTTTACGAATTAAGTTAAAAGTTTGAAAGCCGTCGACCTCTGTGCACGCTCATGAATGTTTACAATGCCCTTATTAGGTAGAACCTTTCCGAGAAACATCAACGACAAAGAGAGCACTGCTGCATACTTTCCAAGAAGCACGTTCACGGCTACCTTTTTCTCAAATTAGTCGAAAGCCGTTCGAGGGGCAGACTGCAAAGCGAAGGGAAAGGAAACAGGCATAAATCATGTAAAGGCGAATCGAATTGGCGGGGGGAACAAGAACAGAGGCTGGCTGGTTCTCTTTGGTCGGGATATCGGCGCGTTTACGCCACTGCAAATCGGTGGATGCTGCGTCAGGAGCAATGGCGGCACTGGCTTACCTGGCCGGTACCTATCCTCCCTCCCCTCCTGTTCGTACCGTGGTCACGTTCCTCAGGGCAACCCGACGAACCTGTTGCCCGTTCTCATCCAGTGTCGTGTCGCTTTCACAGCGGTCGTGGCGCGGTTCATCGCGGCTGTTCCGCTTCGAAAACCTCGACCGTTCCGTAGTTAGACTCCTATACGGGAATTTCGTGGAATTCGGTCCGTTGCGTCTAGCGAGTCTCTATTCTTTTTTTTTTTTTTTTTTTTTTTTTTTTTTTCGTAGAGAACAGTTTGTCCGTGGACAGCCTCGGTGTGATTTCACCTCACGCCATCGACTGACTCGGTGGCCGTGTACGTTGATTTGTGAGTGCCGCGCGAGAGTTAAATTATCAGAGGAGTTTACATTCTCGTCTACCAGAGGTTCGCGATCAAACACATTTGGCGGTTTGACCGTTCGAAGGTGTGTGTTAGGCTTTTTTCTGTTGCACGGCGATCAATGGACTCGGCCGTTTTCGTCGAAAATGACCTCAGCAACAGCGAACCAGTCCGAGTTAAACGACTGGCTTGCTTTGTCGGGAGTGCTCGACCGTGTACGTGGACCGAAGGAGACTTCGAGGATCGTGTCGTAATTCTAACTCCTCGATGCCATCGCGACCGATTTCCTCGTCTTCGATGAGAGCGTCCGTTTTTTCAGCGACACTCGGATGGTAGCCACGGTCTTGAACGTCACGGAAATTTTTCGAATTTCTCGCCGATGGGTAATCCGAGGATTCTCCATGGAATAGCTGTTTCTTACCGATCTTATCGTTCGTGCACGCGAATCGAATATTAAATCGTGTTTGTGTACTTCAATGGACAAATTGCACACGTATCCGAATAATCGATTTATTAAAATTCAAATACTGTGCGATGAGTTTCGTACGAGCGGGTTGAGTGTCGGTGATCGGTATTTCCGCGGGAAACAGTTTTTTTCGAGCAGCGTTCATTAATCGATCAACGTTTCGCATTTGTTGGTAGTTGTAACAATTTATCGTTTTCGATAAATAGTTGAAAAAGGAAATTCACGATTTCTCGATTGTCGATTTTTGTGGTGACGCGATCGATTGACATTTCTAACCCAGACCTGTTCGAAAAAAAAACAAATTTTTCTGGTAAGAGCGGATTGCCAGTCGTGAAGTGAGTTTTCCGCAAAAGGGACAGCTTGTTTGTGTCTGTGTGAAGTGCAGTGAAGTAAAATATAGTGAGTCGTATCTACCGTTTCTGGACGTCCATTACTTCTCGCTTCGTCCTACGTGCGGCAATTTTCGTTGACGGTAAGTTTTGTATGTAGGTATACATACATATAGAGTGTCCCGTAATCATTATAACCTAGGTAGATAAAAAATACAAAATTTAATTAAATCAGCAGTTTCGCGTCGTTACTAACAATTAAATTATACAGAAGAAATGTCGGAGAGGATACTTTTGCTATTCAATTTTTCCTTTCGAAATGTCCGACCAATCGTGTACAAGGCTTCACCTTTCAGTTTTCTTTGTTCTTCCATTTTTTTTCTCAGAAGTTCTGTCCCCGTTTATCTTGACTTTTTCCATCTCCGTCCGAATGTATCGATCTGAAAATAGAAGATCACGGCAACCCCCCGGTAATCAATCATGTCGGGCGTCCTTTCCTCCGCTCGTCGAACGAACAAAACCGTAGGAAAAACGCGAACGTGCCGCGATTAAGGGGCGAACAAACGCGTGACAAAATGTCGAGATATTTAGCAAAGCGTGCGACGGCCTCGTGACTCATAACCTCGAGAGAGCCGCCACGGGCAGGTAGGCATTTCCCTTGTGGGCGGACTCTCGAATTCTTGTCGTGTCGTTAGCACTCGGCCGCGCCGAGGAAACGACCGTACGACCGTCGATCGGATAAAGAGGTAAAGATCGTTTTGCTCAGACCGTGTCGTTGTTCTATACCATTTGTCGTTGGTATTTCCGGTAATGTTTACAGTTGGTTGGCTGGCTTTTCGACTTTGATTAATGGGGAAATTAGGTATTTACTAACGCTATATGTATATCGAATGTTCCGTTGAGATGAGATCGGAAGTTAAATCTATTCGTTACGTCGGCTGCTGTACTTTGATACTCTCGTTTATTTGGTATTTATCGATACTATGCGATACATAAGGCTTTACGAAGCATAAGCACTAACTTTAAAGAAATGTTTCCTAAATTTTTTGGACCATGCCCCACTTCAGTGCCTCTAAGATCTCGATGGCCCCTTAGATAGCTAAGTAAATCATGTTCCGAAGAAGTTTAACATTAATAGCTGCTTCAAATAAAAAAGGCACATAGATAAAACTGTTGTCGATGAGGTGACGAATGTCAATGATTTCCTAATTGCCTCAGAAAATATTCATATTGCCTTTTGGCAGGGCATACGTCCACGTTGGGAAACATTGCTTTAGAGTCATACGTACCTCATCATCTGTCGCTGTTGCATTAACATCGATTTCGTTGGTAAAAGTAAAAAAGAGTACCGTTACTTGGGTAATAAATAAAGAAGTGTCGATCGAAGAATACATTGGCGTTGCAAGTCTAACATAGGTTCATTTTGTCACAGGGCAGAGTTTCCGATTACG